AGTCAAATCGCGAGAGTCACAACGCTGCGAGCGGAGGCGAATCGCTCGCGATCTATATCAAGAACGTCAGATCGCCAGCCGCAACCCGATCTCCCTTTCGGGACTCGAGCTTTATTTCATGTACCATCTGATGACACCGGAAAAGAGACGAAGCCTGGCTCGACTGGCATAGATATATGCGCGGGAATGAGCGGATAGAAGCCGCGTACGTGCACTGGAATATTGATCCGCCCTTTATCGTAGCAATAAAGCATGCCGGCAGGAGGAACACGGAGAGACGATACGTGAAAAGTCGTATTATCTCGCGATGCACGACTCCGGAATCGTCGGACTGACGAGCGCGAATGAAGTACCACGTACCGTGCACGTTCGCAAGTATTTTTTGCACATCTTTTTTTTCCACGGCTCTTCACGCAATTTCTCGAATTGATTTTCCGTGAGTTATGAATAAGAGTTATGAACAGCTTCTGAATTACATACAATTAATTAAATATTAAAAAATATTTCTTGGAAAGATTCTAATTATAGAGACTGCAAGTTGGAATTGATTAAGCTTCGTTGTCCCTTCATTCAAAGGGACCTGTATCTATTATATATTATATCGTTTTATCGGTCTGCAAGATACAATTTTTTTTTATTAACTCCAAGAAATTTACAATTTGTCAGAAAATGACATTCAGTAAATCTGATAATCTATTCAAAATATCATGAAGGATATTTTCCCATTGGAATATATCCATTAGACATACAATACAACAATTTATCTTGCGGAATATAGCGCTTCGCAGTTAGCGCGAGCCTCGTATAATCCGATTGGCGGGGACTAACGAGCGATGCGTCGCGCTGCAAAAAACACGAAAATTCCGCGACGGAAAGTTTTAACGATACAGCCCGTGGGAGTGTGCGGGACTTACGGATGAGCCGCGAATCAAAGAGGACACGCACTAAATAACACGTATACGTTGACTGTATTCACGCGCGAGCGCATGAATCATGGAAATCGTTTGGCGCGACAATTACACATTCATAAATCTGCAAGCCTTGTCTTGTAAGCACATAGTAATGTTACAAATGTGCGATGTATAGTGTAAAATTATAAAATTTTATGTATGTATGTTAATTAACCATGCTTCGTATTAAGTGATTAAGAACGTGATTAAGAACAATGCGCTACAGTTTAAAACATCTTCTTAAATCCGGACATTGAAAAGTGCATTAATTGAAACTGCTATTTGGAGCGAGAAATGACAAGGATTTCCTTGATATCAATTCAACACCAATCTTGACTGACATTACGTATAAGAGCCCATGCATAATGTTACGACGGAGTCTTTTCAAAAAGCTGGAAGAGCGTCGCTTATTCAGTCCGGTTAAAGAGTACCGAATTTATTCAGCTGCTAAGCGACTTTTAATATTACATATAGCAGAATGCGGTAAATTGCTCTCAAGAAAGGGAGAGGCACTTTACGTCCAGTCTGTATTCCTTTCGCGGGGGTTGGGGGGAGGACACAAGCGTGTTTTAAGTTTTAATCGCGAAGAGAGAAATTCGAAAAGCACTGCGGCGCGCGGCTGGCGACTCTTTCCCGCTATCGATCGCGTCTCGATCGTCCTACTTTTCCCGCGGGCTCGGTCTAGACGAGTAAATTGCGTTGTCGACGCGCGTTTAATTGCGCGCTCAGCCCGTGATCAGCGTTGGTCAAATTCGCAATCGAGTGATACGATTGATAAAATAACAGACCGCTCGTTTGGATGCTCGATTAATAGAATGTCAAACTAAATGGCGGATATCGGAGGAATCCGTTAACTCAGTCTATTTCGCGCGTTTCGGGGTATATTATGAACTTTCTTTCCTTTGATGCCGTACGTTTCGATTACGATCCTTCGTAAAAAAAAAGTACTTTTAATTAGTTTTGTGGATATTGAAGCAGTTCCATAGTGTACAGTTATTATTAGATGATAAAGTTGTAAAGACGGGGAACGTAGATACTCGAAAGTATCGTAAAATAAGTTATGCGACTCTTGAATAAATAGGAAACGATCAAAGTTCTGGACAAATTTATTAGAGATATATGGCAATACGTAATACAAGAAAACCTGTTAAAAAATAGATTAAATAGATTCTATTACAAACCTTGCATTAATTATGTCTGACAATTTATTGTTTCCTACTTATACAAGAAACTGTGCAATTTTCTTTCCGTCTTGTCTTTATATGTTAGAAAATTTAGCACCGACGATGACGGACATAGATGAGGTGACAATTCTTGCGAGATTGCCGCACATAAAAGAAACGGAGTGTCCCCGGTATTGGCACAACCGGATGCGTGTGGCTAACATGTCTCTCGTTTCATATGTGTCATGATGTGCCGATTTTTGTCGCGATATTTTATACCTTTCCCACGTGTGTCGAGTAGTGACGCCCTTGTGTGTTTTTGTAAAGAGAACAAGCTAGAGAAACAAACAGCTAGACTCCACAACCGGCGTTATCGACAACAGTTTCGTAATCGTGGCTTTAGAGTTCTTTTAAATTCGGCATCGCTGCATATTGTAAATGGCAAAAAACGAGGCGCGACTGACCGGAAGCGGATATTCGCTCCCTTCGGCATGTGTATCGTGATCGAGGCACCCTTTGGACCTTCAACGTATCGTTTTTTTTTCCTTTGTCGAAGCGAGGATCGGAGGAGATTATGTCTTTTTTTCGTATTTGACGAGTCTCTCTTGCAATAAATACAAGTCTTTATCCACGTGACAAATAGTACATTATTAGAAAACAGATATGAACTATTATATTATATAATTATGTATTTATAAAATAAAATTTTTATATATCAAATAGCAGATCTGTCAAAATGAGAAGTAGCTAAATAATAAATTGAGTGTATCGATTGCCGAAAATTTTAAGACAGTAAATGACTATAAGACAGCAAAATAATTTACATTTTTCCATAATTTAAGATTACAAAATCAATTTATATCAATCGATTTATATTATTTTATAAAATATAAGCAATATAATGACACGCAAGATATTGCAACGTATCGTCGGAGGGATGATTATTGAAGTCTTTTCCTATCTAGGTTACTGTCTTTCTAATCACGGAATTAATTCGCAGTGCAACAGGATATACCGCTTAACAAACGTTGACGGTGCGATCCCGTCCGACATGTAACGGTAAATCTCTCGAATCGCCGGTACGCGCGCACTCCATTACAGTCTGACATAGTGGACATCGGATAAGCTCGTCGATCCTCGCCTAGACAGCAAACACGAGCCGCAAACTGACGGATGCGTTTTAGGTGACTCGTGAGCCCGCCGATTTCTCGAACACGTCGTGGAATGATAATGAAAATGAGCCGACCGCGCGTCGTACCACGATGGAATGGTGGTCAATAAAATAACACTGCAGTCCACACCACGTAACAATATCCAAATATATGCACACATATATAGGGTGTCCCAGGCGCCCCATATTCTTTGTTTCATCGACGAATTTCTCCACCAATTTAGAGTAGATCTCTCCGAAAACTTCAAAGCGCTGGTAGAGTTTGAATTATTGAAAAAAAAACCAAGCATTATCGTGCGTGCGTGAATGAGTAACGATAATTCACTCTTCATTCAATTTCAATAATTTGTATTTGAGTGGGATAATTGCAAAGGACATTCATTCAAGTCTGTTCAATAGGCTCAACTTCAAATTGGTGAAGAAATGCATGGCAGGGAATGCAGAGTATCTGGCGCACCCTGTATACATGCGTAGACGGATGAATATAAAATATACGTAAATATATCACGTGACGTCCAAGATTAGCGCATCGCAAGAAACGATTACGGGTGTCAAGGAGGCATTCTTTGACAAAGAGAACACAAAATGGTAAAAAAAGGACGAGCTATAAAGGATAACGTTAGAATAGACCGATGATGAGCAAAGTATTCTCGAGACTAAATGCTTGGAGACTGCGGTTTCTCGTGCTCGGTTGCGTTGTGGTAATGCGGCACCTTAAAGCCGTCATAGGTCCAGGAGCCTAACTTCAAAACACAGGTCTGTACGTCGTACGGAAAGAACTCAACGTCGATGGAGCAGGAGGATTTATATACGGCCGGCGGTTGCCAGACGACCAATCCCGAATAGTAGACCGTGGCCTTGGTCATCAGCGTCACCTCGTAGTTGCCGTCGGCGCTGGAATCACCGAAGAAACGAGCCGAGCGTGATCACGATTGGCTCGGAGAGAAGGTCTCCGGATGCTGCCATCCTTTCCCTACCTCTTTCCTCTCTTTCCCTCTCGCTCTCTCACTCTCTCTCTCTATCTCCACTACCCTTCTGTCTCTTCCGATATCCGACTTCACACGTATCGACAAAGTGAATCTTGCTCACGTTCGCACGGTTATCGTGGGTACTTTCACTGCTTCGCGAAACGTCTCTCTTCCGACTGTCCAGAAGAGACTTCGAAACGGAAAACCGATACGCGTCGACTGAGTCGCGTGATCGATAGCTTCGGAAACGTTACGGATTCGCGTATCAACTTCACTCGAGAGACACTGGTAACGACAATTGACTTTACTTTTGATAAAAGTAAAAATTATAAGCTTTCTTTTTTTTGGATTTTAATCAATGAAATCATATTGATTGTTTGACCCTTTTGAGTTATTATCGTCATCTCGTGCTTGATCCACGACGATTCACTACCTGCACAATAAGTACGACCGTATCATCTCGGGCTATATGGCAGCATCCGTCTTCTGGGGATGGTTTTCGGAAACTTCGTATTCTCCCTCTCGATCGTCGGAGACCCACGCGACGAGCCAATCGTCTGTGATCTACTCTACGCTTAGCATCTATTTGATCGCCGTCCCGCAGACGCATCCCGTAGACGGAGCCCGTGTCGGATCCGCGTCTCGGACATTTGGCTGGCTAATTTTCTCAGTTAATTGTTCGGGGGCTCGAGGGCAGGGGGGGGTGGTCGGGAAGGGACACGACTTAACGGCTACCATGCGAATTTACCTTGAAGCCGTCATAGGTCCACGAACCGAACTTGAGAACGCAGGTCTGCTCGTCGAATGGGAAGTACTCCACGTCGATCTCGCAGGATGACTTATATATGGCCGGCGGCTTCCACTCGACCAATCCTTGATGGTAGATCGTGGCCTTCGTGGCCAAGGTCACCTCGAAGTTGCCGTCCGCGCTGCGAGCGAGCACATTAGTGGTTCTGGGCGCTGCGGCGGTCGAGCTTACTTTGTACTTCCGATTCGATACCAAGCCCTTTTTTTTTTGTTTTTTTCTTTGTTGTTTTTTTCTTTTTTTTTCAAATTTATTTCTGTACGTGTGTGCATGTATATACGTGTGCGTTTTAACATGATTAGCAGTATCCGCTAAATAGGCAGATAGAGATCTTACGTGAACGTAAGCAAATCTGTTAGTTTTTCTGGATTTGATCAGCAATCGTGGGTAAAATAGATCCGCGCAAATAAAAATGATATTTCCGAGAAAATCCGGTGCAACTTCAACTCGGATATAGGAATTATCTGGCTCAAAGCGTTCGCAAAATCGGATTGGATTATCGCACAGGCTCTTATTTCGATCCACTAAGCCCGAAGGCTGGGGGACGTCAATAATCTGGTTTTGCAACTAGTTAATAATAGTCAATAGAAAAACAACTCGTTATTTTTTTCTTATTGTTAGTTATTATCCTATCCGTAATTTGAATAAAGAAAGAAAGTTTACTTGCTAATAAATATTTATATGTATCTCAATGTTTCCAGCATATATTGTAATTTATGTTAATTGAATGATGCGTATACAAAATTACTGATTAATGAAATTTAAAAAACAATTGTTTCTTTTCCCATTTAAATTAAAAATTTGCAAAGCAGCAATATCCTGATGAATGTACCGACGACAGTTATGATAGACTATGTCCATCATTATCAAATTATCCTCACACTAACCACTCAATCGCTATATTTGTGAAATTGGATGGCTTAGCAAAGTTTCTAAATTGAAGAACCAGCGGATGCTAGCCCGATATAACGGAGATATATAGATATCCGTGGTCGATAGCAACCCGTTTACTGTCGAGGATCGCATCGGCCACGTGGGATTGCCAAGTAAACTAAGCGCGATGGTCGAGTTTCCCGGAGTCGAGGAGAGAATCCGGAGGTACTAAGTCATCGCGGATGACTGCGGTGCACCGGGATTATTTTGCTATCGGCTTCCTTTCGTCTCTCGTGAACTATCTTCGGTCCCGAAAGTTACGATCAAGTCAGAAAGTGTAGATCACTAACTCGAGTTTCTAAGCCGGAAAGGAATGGGAGGAGAATTGTTGCGAATTGCGAGAAAAGTACGTTTTACACTGGCCTTATAACTCAGAAAATGTCGATCTTGTCTTATTGAAATATACGTGTCAAAAAATTATTATCTTTATTTGTCTATTAATAATTTTATTAATAGTTCTATTTAATAATTTATTTAATAGTTTATTATTAATTGTTTATTTATTTAATATGTGTGTGTCTTAAACAAAATTTCTTGCGACGCAACTAAGGTTTTTACGTTTATAATATGGCAATCAAATTAAAAACAAATAATTAAACAAATTTTTAAATATAATATTAATATTTTAACATAAATGTAATAAAATATACCATATCATAAAAATAAGTAGAAATGAAAAAACTATACTCTATTTTCTTGTTCTTTCAGACAATTCTACAATTACTTGATATACATATATAATAAATTAATAAAATAAAATAAAAGTTTTATTTAGATCTTATTTAAATTTCGTTGGATGTCCCACCGGGGACGGCCATAAGTCAGCCTTTACACATTGCTCAACTTTCCAGTGATACGATTTCGCCTACAGACAGCATTGATTGCATGGACCGTCACCGTATTGGCAAGATATTTCTCGATCTCGAATGCGTCGCCACACAACCCTCCGGGGAGACGTGAATTGCATTAATAATCCAACCGAAACCTGCCTCGGCGAACAGTTTACCCGACCGACTTATCCACTATGTGGGCATGGACCTTTGTTCGATATTTGACGTAAACCAAACAGGCGTGTGTTTATTCGTACAAAGGGAATGAATGTAGAAATCGCGTTGCTTTACGTTCGCGCAATCATGGCCCGACCGTTCCAATCTTTCGTGTAAATACGAGCGGCCACTTGGCAGATATATTTAACCGAGTTGTACTCACACAACAGACACAGGTATTGCAACGAAGAAGATCGAAAGATTTACTCGAGGCGAGATTCAATTTCAACACGCTGAAAGTGTTTTACGAGCGAAAGATCAATGTTTAATTAATAAATGTTGCTTATCAATCTTAATTATAGTATCATATTATATTTATCGAAAGCGTTATCCGTCTTCCTTTTTCGCCTAGACATTCGTACGAAATTTAAAAATTCAGCCCGTTTTATTGTACAAAAGACCAGTTTGTCATTGTAGCTATCGCGCCTGATACATTTAGTTTGCCCTTCGCTTGGGGAAAAATGCATTTTGTCCGCCCACGAGGATATATTTTTCCTCTCCTTTCGCATCATTCGTATGAAGTATCACAGATCTACGTGCAAATGCACAGATGCTTCCCCATCCTACGTGTCTCGAATTTCGGTCGGAAAGCGTAGCCGGGTTTCCCCTATACTCACAGCATGTGGTTCAAAACGGCGACATCGAGAAAGAGAGAGAGAGAGAGAGGGGCAAGTTTGCTCATAAAGTAAAGAGCCTTAATTAGAGCTACCTATTTCTCACATAATTGTGCTACGCACAATACATCGAGAAAAACACCGATTTTCATACGAGTCTTTGAGAGGTAAGGGTCAATCATCTGACACGATCTAATGGGATACATCATTTCGCGGAATATCGGGGCTACGATGCGATGTGTAGCCATTGTAGCGTGAACCCCTCACTTATCGAAATCAATTTACGACCCGGTGGAGATTCACAGAGGTATCGATTTGTCTGACGGCTGTTTGAGAGACGTGAAAAGGATGACGGCATCATTACGATTGACGGCCGATCGTCAAATATCGTTAAATATTCTTGATGACGCAATTTTGTAAACTTTTGTATTGCTAAACTTATACACATCAAAATTTAGAGCGATTGATCTTAAATCGATTTTAATATGAGATATAATTTAAAACTAATTTTAAATCAAAATTATATGAGTCAAATTTTAGTCTTTTATAAAAATAATTACACACTAATTATGTACGTATAATACAATTATTTTACTTAAGTACAAAACCGCGCGAATTTCATATGATATTAGGTAATACAAATTATTGGAGCTGCATATGTTCCTTACTTTTAATTTTCTGCTTGAAAGCTCGAGAACGGTTAAACCGATTGTGATCGACACGCTGTACGACCATTTGTTCAAGATCAAAACGATAGAATCCAATTCTTGTTAATTCGGATCAAGTGCCACTGCACATTTTGATTTCGAGCCTACATCAGCGTTATCCCGCCGCGCTCAGCAATTTGCATACACCCGCCTGTCTTCTTCTATCTCGAGGTTCAAACGCGAAATCGCAATTTCCTGCAGCGAGAATCCCCAATGATTCTCGATGAAGGCTCACGTGAGAATGTGTGTGCGTCGCGATGAAAGCCTTTTTCAAGGTGCGCTTCGTGAAAATAGCGCTTCTCGTGTTGCCTATCAGCCGCAAAGTGATATGATACCGCGCGCGTTAGGGTATGTGATATATTATATACCGAATGCCCTAGATTCTTTTCCTTTTAATGGAAGATGCTTGAGGTTGAAGTAAGAAGGATGAGAAATAGCCATTTCGGTATGAAGATAGACAGTTTTTTACGCTTGCGGTAAATTGAACGATTTAAAAATGGGTAATAAATAATAAAATACTATGGTAATTACAAAGTACTTAAATAATAGCAATAAATATATAGTAATAATAGTTATTATGTTACCTAAAATTGAATATAAACTTAATAAAGTTAATAATATAAACTTATTAAAAATGTAATGTAATAAAGATACGAGTTTTAGTTAATAAGATACGTTATGAAAAAGAAGAAGCTGCTGTCAGATTTTCGTCAAAAAATATGTTTTTTAAGGAAGCGATTAAAATCGCATAATTGCATGCGAAAAATAGAAACTGCTGCGTGGATAAATTGTTCATTTCCGTTTTGGTGTTGAGAGATGCTCATAGAGTTACCGTTAGCGTGAAAATCGCTCAGCCTAAAACGTTTCCACGGCGTGTCGATACGCCGCCCTCATTTTCTGGTGCATCGGATGCACAACGAAAAAAAAAAAAACTCGCATATCGCACACGGGAAATAATCGACGAATCGAAACGAGTCGTAATAGAGAGAGAGAAGGGCGTCGACGGCAAAATGAAAAATTGCTTGTACCGGGGCAGTCTGTCGAGGTCTCCATTATCAGGAAAGGTGCAGGCACCGATATTTCATGGAATTAACCGGCGGCGGCCAGATACAGCGGCCCCGACGCCGGCTGAAAAATAGCCTCGCCCTTAACGTTTCCGCCGGAAAGCGTTCTGACGTACAACTGAGAAAATTCTATCAAGACCCGCCGAACGGAATTCCGGTGTTGTGTAACGATCGTGGATAAACTCGAAGATTAATCGCGAATTCCTGCGTACGATCGTAAAAGATATCCTTTCACTATTTTCTTCTCTCTTATCTTCGCTCGTTTGATGTAAAAAGAAACCAACAGACGTTACAGTATTCTAGCTTAATGAAGAATAGCGAGTTTTCCAATCACCATGATAGCGCATATGTTGGAGCGACTATATCCGTGAAAATGATCAGTGGATTCGGAAAGCCTGCATCAATGCTGCCAGACCCAAATTCAACCCCGTGATATTTATCATCCCTCATCCTCCCTTCCCTCCCGATACATCGACTAGCAGGTTTCTGGCCGACGTTGTTGGGTTCTCTCTTTCGAATACTTTATTCGCTTCTATCCGTTCTACTTCGGGCCGTCGAGATTTTCCGCAAGCCGTGAGTGGAAAAGCGGCGCGCGAGACCGCCGATCATAAATCATCTCTCTCAATAGAAAGCTCCCGCGTTTGTCGTTCTCCCCGGTCCGCGGCAATTTATTTAGCCGGATACCTCGCGCTGTCCTATAACAGCGCGGCACCGTGATAGGATTAACCGCACACGACCGTCCGTCGTGAAGCGCTCTCAC